AAATAACATCAAAATTCAGTTTTTTCATGAATTTTTAAAATTCAATTTTTTCCAGTACTTTTACTAAAAATCCCTGACTTTTCCCTGACTTCCCTGACTTTTTCCTGAATTCCCTGACCTGTGGCAACCCTGTTTAAACGAAAAATGTAGAAAACAAAAAATTTTGTTAGTTTAATTTTTTTAGTTAAATTTGTTAACTCTTTAGGAAAATTTATTATACTTTTCCTTTAATTGTAATAGGAGTAGTAAATTTTGATCGTAAGGAGAGAAAGGACTATTTTTTTCACTAATAAATAAACGGTATATTGGTCTTGGTCTTTTAGAATCATTAATCATAGGAACTATTTTAAACTCTCGGGACGTGCAGGAGAGACCATGAGACTTTGTTTAATATGCTAATGACTATTAAACAAGTATTTCTCTTCGTTTAACACGATATGAAATTCATTACGCGCAGGAGTAAAACGGAGATATTAAATTACCATAATATTAATAATACCCAACCGACTTGTTTTATTATACGAATAGGTAAAATACTGTTTGAGCTCAAAAGTGCTTTCCTCATCCAATGGTTTTTTTTTTTTTTTTTTTTTTTTTTGCTTCATCTCTTTAGTAAGGGGATATTTAGCATTTTAATATCGCGTATCAAGATGGCAATATAGTGGCTTAGCCATTCTCAATAGTCTTTCCCCCCCAAGAAGTATCTCGAAGGGAACAAGTCACAATATTCTCTGTAATATCCCATTTCTTGTAACGAATGTCATTTGAATCTCGCGACCAAGGATATCTTATTCCCTTGGAGACATTTTTTAACTTGATGTAATTTTCTTCGAGATTTTATTCTCCTTTCTTTTTTTCTTCTTTTCTCTTTTTTCTTTTTATCTCTTTTTATCTCTTTTTATCTTCTTTTCTCTTTTTTCTTCTTTATCTCTTTTTTCTTTATTTCTCTTTTTTCTTTTTTTCTCTTTTTTCTTTTTTTTTCTTTTTTTTTAAATTAAAAAATGGGATCAAAATTAAATAAAACGTTCATTTTCGAATTAAAAATTCCTATTTTTGCATTTTATTTCCATAAGGCGAAAAGTGGGAAAGTATTTAAAATTTTAAGTGACAAAGTTAATTAGAGTTTTGTGAATTATATACATTCCGAGTATATAATTAATGTCTTGCAGCGACGTTTGTAATTAATAATTACCAGTATTTTCGTAATGAAACTCCTATGTGTCTTTACACTGAATTATAAATTCCACAATATAAAATAAATAATGAAAAGAAATAAAAATATTTAAACTTTTCTATTTTTAAATTTTCTAAATTATCACAACAATTTTTCGAGACATTTGTTTAAATTATATTAAAAATAATTAAAATTCTGCGATGAGTTTTAGTATTTGTAAAAATAATTGAATCCCTAAGAAGAATTTTATTATTTTTGAACGATATTTAATTTTTGCGAAAAATATTACTAATCTTGAAAATAATTAAATTTCTGCAATAATTTGTAACTTTTCCAAAATTAAATTTTTATTTCTTGTTTTCAACTAAAATTCTTCTATAAATGCATTAGTTTTAATAATTTTTGACAAAGTTCTTCGTGTACTTTCAAATTCAATTGTTTACAATTAAATTGTCCAAAATTTCAATTATTCATACATTCTTCAATTAAATATATATTAAAAAATAAAAACTTTAAATAATTAGAAAAAAAATTCGCAATTAAACTTTTTGAAAAAAATTAATTCCACAGAATTGTTAATTTTTAATAACATTTTTAAGAATAATTACATTTTCCGAGAAATTTGATTAAAATTGTATTAAAAATAATTTAAATTTTGCGATGTGTTTTATTATTTATGAAAATAATTGAATTCCTACACTGAGAAAAATAAACATAACTGGGTGCTGTCCGGACAGGACTGGTCCCTGTCCAAAATTTTTTTTTCATTTAGACAGTACTCTTTGCTTTCTAGACAGGAATGATTCCTGTCCAGAACGGACTCAGTAATGTCTTAGACATTAATGAAACAGACAGATGTGAACGATGTCCGGACAGGAACCATTCCTGTCCAGACATTAATGACAACTCGCCGCCTTTAACAGACGTAAGACATAATTCAAAACAATTATAATTAAAGGTTATAATAATGTCAATAAAAGATAGAATTAATTAAAGTAAACGGTCGTTATTTTACTGTTAGATGTAAAAGTAAAATATATTGCTAGTTAAGTGAATAAAGGACAGATTGTGTTTTAGGGAAAATAAATCGGACATTTAGAAAAAACTCTTTCAGAAATTATTATTTTAGATATTATTATATCTTATATTCTATACATTAATAAAACATTATATTAATTTTTAGTGTTTTCTATTTCAATCTAAACGCGAATTTTTTTTTAACACAATAATTAAATTAAATTAAACAAGTAATTAAATGATAGTGAATACGTTATAATGTATTATATATTTTATAGAGTAGTAGTATTTAAAGAAAATAAAAGTATAATATATATTTTCACATTTAATAAAATTTAACGAATGCAATACAATAATATTTTAAATATATGTAAAATTTATTTCAACATTATTACAAAAGAATACATTGCTGTGAATCAGAGTTCAAGTTTTTGTAAAATATATAACGGAAATAAGAGTAGGTTTTATGTTTCTAAAGTTGAAAATAAATATTAATATAATTTTCCTAAACGACTCAAATCCATCGCTTTGGGATGTACAGTTTTCCATTCTTATTTTTACTAAGAAATGAAACATAAGCTGATTGTATTTTTTCATTGGAAAGTCGAACAAATTTGAATCTATCAGTTAAATCGCGAGAATACAGTTCGTAAGCTTGGAAATGGTGGTCATATAAATAATTTCCAGTCACATTTTTTGCGATAATAATTATTTTTTGAGGTTCAACTTCAACTATAATATAAACAATGTATAATTCTGGGTCATTTTCACCAGGTATCATTAATACTGCATTCTGACAAATGTTGCGACCTTGAAGTAAAATGGACTGTAAGTGTTTCACGTTGTTCTGTACTTCAATATCAGCAAGTAAAGGAAAATACAAATGCATGTTTGGCAAGTCTGTTACTTTTAGAGTTTCTGAAGTCTGATATTCATAAAGTTTCAATTCCAAATTTTCATTACGCAAAAATCTGTCAGAAGCCTGCAACTGAGATTTAATAGCTAAAGTCTTAGTAATATTTTGTCTATTACGTGAAGCATGAGCGGCCAATTTTGAAATTCGGTTTTTACTTTCGCATCTTAAAGTTGACAGATGCCATATAGGACCAAAACGCTTTGATACTCTAGGATAGTGGGGGAGAAGATGATGCTTCGGTTTCACGCAATCCTTAAACAAAGAAGTCAACTTTCCTAAATATTCTGCTATTAGGCTTTCTAAGTAGTTCAATATGTCAACATCAACAATTGGTGAGACGACAATATCTATTATTTCTCTTAAAGTAATAAAAAGATCCCAGTGTTCATTAGCACGTGGTACTAAATCTCCAATCAGTAAACCAAGATTTCGAATAAAGCAGAATGCTTCACTAGCCGACATTTTTATGTGCTTGTTTTTTATCTGGTTCAATTTTATCGGACGTGGCTTATTCGTTTCATTTGGCCCGTAATCAAAATTTTGAACTCTAGAATTAAGTTCTGTTAGTGTAAAGAAATCATCAATTTCAATGAACTGGTGAAGAATTAATCCAGTATCATATTCAACTATACCTTCAAAAATATCATGCGCAGGGTCAACGCCTATTAGTTCCAAGGTAGAACCAGATTTTAAATCAGATATAGCTGATTGTCTTGCGACACCTGTTTTTTTAAGATCATCTGCAAGCAGATCAGATTGGTATGATGTTTCGTCTCTAAGTTTACACTGCGATTCCTTTAAAATTGTGCTCATTTCTGAACTCTTCACGTGACAAAATCGGCATGGGTAGTTAGCCGTGAAACCTGTTGTAAAACCAAGTAATTGATTAAATGCCTTATTATCGCCGATACAAGTTCCTACAACCAAATAAACTTGTTGAATACCATCTGGAGTGGAAACAGGTATTCCTGAAGTTGCCAAAAAATTCAGTTCATTTACACCCTTTGTAAAAAACATACGAAGAGGGACTTTTTCCAAGTCAATAGATCTGAACAATGTCAAGATAAAAATGTTTTCTACCTTTGATTGTAGCTGAGGATGTAAACAGGCAATAACGACATAAACGGCACCAATTTGTCCTATTCCCTTATGGCTACCTAGTGGATTGTTAGTTTCATATTCGTCCCAGTAAAGAAATAAGGGAAGAACAATCCGATTCTCATAATCACGTTTTATAATTTTCCAACGTTCACCTTGTACAAAATTAAACAATATAGTCATCATTTTCCAGATCAGCAAGATAAGATAATGTACTTTTAAGTACTCCTGGAATTTCTAAAAATTTTTTAATAGTTTCACGAATAGGGAAAAATTGGAAAGAAACCTTCTCATTTTCGGGATCGGAAATATTTGCTTGATTATTATAGAAATCTTCCTTGTTGATAATAACTTCTACAGGTGGAAAGTAGGTTCCTAAATTTTTTTCAAAATGAACTAAACATTTATGCTCTGTATCGATATGAGCAAATACGTTTTGAAAATCGTTAAACATTCGTTGAAATGCATGAAGATTTTGTGAATTCTCTCCTAATTGAGATAATCTTAAGAGAACTATATGAATTAAATTTGTAACCGATTTTTGTTGTAAAATGCTTGTCATATCATCTATAAACTCAAATGCTCGCGTTCTTGTTAAATCGGGTTGACTAAGCCATTTGCTGGCAACTAAATCAGCCTGCAATTTTAAGATTTGACAAAATATTTGTGGATCCATTTTACACAATATCAGCCCTTACAATGTATAAAATCAAAAGTTGAAACAAGTAAACAACTAATAAAATACGATAACGATCAAACAAATAAACTACGAAGTGAGAACTACTCGTTGATTTTTTACTCGCCGGGAAGTTTCAGTTCATTCACGAAGAAAGACAATGCTTTTTTAGTTACTTGAAGCAACTTATCGTCGGGCTTATTGATTCGCAAAATAATTTTCTGCACAAGAACCCATGCGTGAGAACTTTTGGTTGGATACGGAATCCGGTATGCCAAATAAATTTTTACAGCCAAATCGAAAGCTTCAGGTATAGATTTACAATCGTATTTCACAGTTCTGACGATTAAGTATATTGTTTTTGGATCTTTGAGATTGCCAGTGATGACGACATAAGGTCCTTGTTCTTGGGGGGTTTGTTGTAATTTCCTTTCCACGAATGAATCTACGTCTTCATCAACCTAATGGAATTAAATGCCTTATGAGTTGTGTATATATATTAAACATTATAAAAACGAAACTTTTAAGGATTGCTTAAACATTGTGTAAAGAATACTCAAAGAAAATATTATATTCAGGGTGTCTACTAACCGGGAAAACAGGAAAATGAATTTGATCGGGAATAAGCCAGAAATTGTGTTCAAAACCGGGAATTTTTTCACCAAATTAAAAAAAATTATAATTTTAATTTGTTTATAAAAAATCGCTTTTTATTTCAATTTGTATTTATAAATAATTAATTTGACAGTAAAAAATCAGTCACTGATTCAAATATATAGTATGTAATAAATTCAAAAAAATATCGAATTAATAGAAATTTTGGGAAATTCAACTAAAAATAATTAAATTTGTTAAAGAATTTCATTAAAAACTTTTTAACAAATCGAATTTTCAAAGTATTTTAATTTAATAATTGAATTTTATAAAGAGTTACATTCTAATGTATTTGTTTTTTAGTGTGAAGATTAATAATTAAAATTTTTTAATAAAATTGAATTTTCGCAATGTTTTTTTGAAAAATCTGAAAAATAAGATTTTTGAAATTTTAAAATTCTTTTATTTCAAGATAATTTAAATTTTATAAACAAATAATTGAAAACTTTTGAAATAATTGAAATTTCTTTACTTTCTATTAAAAATAATTTAATTCTTTTAAAGAGATTTATTTATGTTCGGAATCAAATAAATTTAAATTTAATGAGAAAAAAGCCGGGAAAAATTAGAACAGAGCCGAGAATTTTGTTAAACGAAAATAGTAGATACCCTGTATATTGGACATTTTGGACAGTGAAAGCAGTATATACCATACCGCTACATTTGAGATGAACGTTTCTCGATCAGCAAGTTTGATCTTTTTTTCTTCGTCTGTGTCAAGTTTCAATCGCTTTGGTTTTCTGTTTGAATTTGGCTTTAATAGGGCAACGATTGCTGTCGGAAAAATGGTTATCAGAACTGTGTCTTTCTGATCTAAAAATCAAATTTCAGTAATAGATATTATTATTATGAATTAAATATAAACGACTGAATTCTTCGATGTAAATAATATACCATCAGTTAACGATTCAATATTATTGAACAGCTCTTGTAATTCATCATCAAGACGTCGTGAACTAATGAATTTGACTAAAGCGTCTCGAAATTGTGTCCAAGTTTCTACAATGCTTATTGAAGTTTCGTAGTATTTTTCGAAGTCCAACAGTATCTATATAAAAGCATACCTTTATGTCCATTTAAAATTGTAAAAACTATACCCATACCAAAGATAAATATAAATTTACCAAATCACGATGTTTTGCAAGACAAGGCAACTTTTCCCACTGCCATAATGCTCCGTTTAAACTTTGTTTTGACATCTCACGACGTGCAAAAAATGTTTTCTGCCAAGCATTTTTGAGTACATCCCAATCAAGTCCATTTTCACAAGGTGCTTTAATCAGTTGCAGTAATTCATCAACTGTATCTGTTAAATATATTGTATAATATTATGGATGCAAAATTTATATTTATACACATATATAATCGTGAAAATACCAGGTTGTTTATCAGCATCAACATCGACATTAACTTCTTCTAAGGTTGCTTTTACTAATAAGCCATCTTCAGCGAGAAGAGTTCTCAAATAATTTATGCGATTCATGAATCGTCCAGAAGCTCGAATTTTTTTGATACACCACCAATTTTGACTGTCTTCGTTGCTGTGTAAAATACTCCTGGGACCTGCTTGAAAATGGTCGCACATTCCACCGACAGTTGAGTCAAAATCTCAGAAGAAATTCTATAAATGGATAAATTGTTAATTTTTTAAGTTTTGAATGAATTATAATTCCTAATAAAATTTTTTTTAATCTTGTTTCTATTTTTTATTTTGATATAAATTTGTTATATTTTTCCATTTTGCATTTGTATTTATTTATTATTATTATTTATTTTTATTTATTTATTTATTTATTTATTTATTTATTTATTTATTTATGTATTTATTTATTTATTTATTTATTTATTTATTTTTATTTTTATTTTTATTTTTATTTTTATTTTTATTTATTTATTTATTTATTTTTATTTTTATTTAGTATTTAAAATTTTTTTATAATTCCATTTTCAAGAAAGTGTGACAAGTTCCTCGATTAAAATTATAGAATGTATTATTAATATGCATTTTGCAGTTTAAAATTTAGAGAAAAATTATAAAAAATTAAAAATGTAATTAAAAACGATTCAGTTATAGAGCAAATAATTTCTCGCAAAAATTCTTATACATATGGTTATTGTAAAGAGCTTACTCAAAGCTTTTCAATGGATTTTGTAAACTTATATTTTTTTCTTGAAAAATGAGGTTACATTCCCGATTTATAATCAAATGAGTTAGAGAGGCTAAAGCATTTTCTGAAAGGTTTTCATTTTTTTTCGAAGTGGCTAAGAATTCTTTTTCCATCGAATGATTTTGACAGGAAGTTTTTGAGATTCTCCCTCCCAATTAAAGCACTGTTCTCTCCAGGAAGAACAGTTTCTTGACATTTTGTACAGAGGATGTCACAAAGTGTGGAATTCGTAGCACTAGCGATGGAATTATGAAGCGAATTTTCAAAAGAGAATACAATTTCTATAGAACGATTAGAAATGAATAATAAGAATAAAATAATTTATTTTTAAAGAAAATTTAAAGATTAATAAAAACGTATAACTTACCCTGGGACTCCATATTTACACTTTAAACAACTGTCATAATAACCTTTGAAAACTATTGCGAAATTTCAGCATTCATTTTTTTAATTATTATAAGGTGATATTCATAGAAGTTATAAAGTTTTTTTTGTATAGAATAAAATCAGAGATTATTTAAGGTTGGATTTTTTCGAACACTACAAATAAGTATACAGATTTATTTAAACGCGGCGAGTTGTCATTAATGTCTGGACAGGAGTGGTTCCTGTCCAGACATCGTTCACATCTGTCTTCTTCATTAATGTCTAAGACATTACTCAGTCCATTCTGGACAGGAATCATTCCTGTCCAGAAAGCAAAGAGTACTGTCTAAATGAAAAAAAAATTTTGGACAGGGACCAGTCCTGTCCGGACAGCACTCAGTTATGTTTATTTTTCTCAGTGTAAAAACAAATTTACTTTTTTTTAACATAATTAAATTCCTGCGATGGATTTTATTACTCTTGAAAACAATTGAATTTCTGCAATAATTTGTAGTTTCTCCAAAATTAATTTTTTTTAGTTTTAACTAAAATTTTTCTATTTATCCATTATTCTTAATAATTTTTTTAATAGTTTTTTAAGAATTTTCAAATTTATTTGTTTTTAACTGAAATTCATTTTTAAATTAATTTTCATTATAAAATTCTTCTAGAATTCAATTATTTAAATACAAAAAATAATTTATTGTACATTTGAATGTATCTTAAAATTGAATTCTCATAAATAATTTTATCAACAAATTTTTAAATACTTGAATTCGTTTGAGGAATTTTAATAAAATTTTTAATAATAATAACATTTATCGAGGAATTCGATTAAAATTATATTAAAAATAATTGAAATTCTGCGATGAGTTTTACTATTTATGAAAATAATTAAATTCCTAAAAAGAATTTTATTATTTAGAAAAATAATTTAATTTCTGTAAGAATGTTATTATTTAGAAAAATAATTGAATCCTTGTAAAAATGTTATTATTTAGAAAAATAATTGAATTCTTGTAAAAATGTTATTATTTAGAAAAATAATTGAATTATCTAGCGAAGAAATTTATAAAAATATGTAAATAATTGAATTTCTGTGAAATGGTTATTATTTTATGAAAATAATAGATATTAAAAATTAGTAAATTGAGGAAAATTTTTGAAAATAATTGAAATTTTGCCAAGAATTTTATTAAAATCTTTGAAAATAATTGAATTTCGAAGAAGAATGTTATTATTTATAAAGGTAATTAAAATTTTGACTCGAATTTTAAAAAAATTTTGAACATAAAATGAAACATTCTTTTAACATTGTGATGAAAAATTTTATCACAATTTCACATTGTCGATAATTACACCATTGACAAAAAATGTTCAATCAAACCTTAATTTATCTAAATTAACAATTTTTTATTAGTAAATTGAAATATTTCAATTCATCAGCGAATATTTATTCATATATCGAAGAAAAGAAAAGCGAAAAAAAGACAAATGTATTTTAAAGTAAATTGCAGTTGAATTAAATTTTCCTCTAATTAATTGAATGATTTTCAAAGTGGTACCTGTCCCAATATACATGTCGGTTGAAACAAAAAACAATAGAAATCATTTGTTTCAATTCACTGACTGTTAGTTCTCTTTAAATGACCACTCATTGTCTGTAAATAGGTCGAGTGCTCAGAGAGTACGAGTACATAATTGACAAGTCGATAGTTCTAAATTGCCAATAGTCTATTTTCAAGGTATAATTACTGCGCAAAATGACATGCTTTTCAAAATTTATATATCTTCAATATATTAAATTAGCGAAGAAAATATTTTCAATTTTGTAATTTTTCTCTTAATTGACATAAATAATATGAAAAATTTTCATGATAAAAAAATAATAATCTTGAGAATTGACACAAATTGAAGTATAATTTTTTTTTTATTTTTAACTTATAAATATTAATTCGATAATACAAGAAAAAGAATATTGGAAAACAGAAAATAAATAAGTAGAAATAAAAGAATCGAATAAAAAATAATGCTACAAAGCAAGAAAAATAAGTAAATCCTGTCTTATTGTTAATATTTCGAATAAATTTTATTAAAAATAAAAGTTTTATTCTCTATAATATTGTCATATATATTTTAATTAAACTGCAGACTATAAGCGAATATTCAAAACATTTCGCCTCTCTCACACACACACAAGTCTCGAAAAGTGTGAAGTTTAATACACAAAAGTGAATGGGAATTACTTTGAGGAAGGATATATAATTCATCCGAGTTTTCATCACTTTGTTCATCTACCTCATCTAACTGTTTAAACGACTTTTCCTCTCTGGTAACGCGCGTTCGTATCTAAACGTAACACCCTTGCGAATATTTGTCTTTCTTTGCGTCACTTATACGCCGACGTATAATTCACATATTTCTCTCGTGTGGTTCACAAGTTTCGCTTTTTTTTTCTCTCTCTCTCTCTCTCTCTCTCTAAAATTCACACAGGAATCGTGTCACGCAAATAAATATAGTTGCGCGTTGGAAAAAAAAGAGGCGATGATTTACGGAATGCAAAAAAAATTTAATAATTTAGTTTCTTCTTTTAAATCTCCTTTTTTTATTTATTTCTTCTTTATATTAAGTTAGGAAATGCAAAACAATAGAATTAGTGTAATTAATAAAATTACTAACAATAATTGCATTGTTCTGAAGAATTTTTAAATTTATAAAAATAATTGTATTCTTGCGAAGAATTTTATAAAAATCTATTGAAATAATTCATTTTTTTCGAAAAATATTTTGAAAATTCTGTTTTAAATAATTAGCAATTTTAAAAATAATAGAATGTAAAAATTTTTAATTCAAATTTATTATCATAAAAATAAAATATGAATTGGAATATAGTTTTAATATTATAATAACTATAATATAATATATTCTGACACAGGGAATTCAGGGAAAAGTCAGAAATTTTTATTAAAAGTATTGAAAAAAATTAAATTTTTAGAATTCTTAAGAAAATTCTGAATTTTATTTGTCTTTTTTGTTTGCCTCATAAACTACGAAATTACCAAAAATTATACTACAAAACCTTCAATTTTTTCAATTTCTGAAAATCATTTCTTTTTAAATAACTTAAATCTTGAACAACTAGCATACAATAATGACTTATAAATTATGAAATGAATCATTTCACTTAAATATTTGAAAATTAATTCAATTTTAAAAGAATTTCGTTTACAATTTTCATAAATAAGTGAATTCCAAACGGTATTAATTTGAAATTTTATCAAATTTCAATTTTAAATGAATTTAATTAGAAATTTTTTTAAAATTTTAATAATTTAAAATCAAAATAATTCAAAAATATTTAAATAATTATTAAAAATAATGTATTTATAGAAGAATTTTAGTTAAAAACACTTTAAAAAAATTGAATTTCAAAGAAGTCACAAATAATTGCAGAAATTCAATTACTTTCAAAAGTATTAAAATTCTTATCACAAAATTCAATTGTTTTCAAAATTGACAAAAAAAAATCTGGTCAAAATCCCAATTATATTTGTAAATAATAAAATTCTTTTTTAAAATTCAATTATTTTCAAAAATTTTAATAAAATTGTTGTCAAAGTTTCAATTATTTTCAAAAATTTTCCTCATTTCAATAATTTGCAATATCTCTACTATTTTAATAAAACTACCCAAAAAAATCAATTATTTAAAAAATTTTTTAATAAAATTGTACGCAAACATTCAATTATTTTCATAAATAATAAAAAAAATTTCACAGGAATTCAATTATTTACAAATTTTTTATAAATTTCTTCTCAATAATTCAATTATTTTCATAAATAAAAAAACTCATCGCAAAATTTTAATTATTTTTAATACAATTTTAATCGAATTCCTTGAAAAATGTAACTATTCTTAAAAATGTTATTAAAATTCGTCAAAAGAATTCAATTACATATTTAAAAATTTGGTAATAAAATTCTTAATAAGAATTGAATTTTATAAGAAACACTCAATTATTCAAAAAATAATTTACTTTTGATTTTAAATAATTGAATTCTCGTAGAATTTTGGTTAAAAACACTGAGAGGAATTGAATTATGAAGATGTTACAAATTATTGCAAATATTCAATTACTTTCTAAAGCAATAAAATTCTTATCACAAAATTCAATTATGTTCCAAATTGACAAAAAAATCTGGTCAAAATCCCAATTATCTTTATAAATAATAAAGTTCTTCTTCAAAATTCAATTATTTAAAAAAATTTTAATAAAATTGTAAGCAAATATTTAATTATTTTCATAATAATCATAATAATACAAATTTCACAGGAATTAAATTATTTACAAAATTTATAAGTTTCTTCTCAATAATTCAATTATTTTCATAAATAATAATACTCATCGCAGAATTTCAATTATTTTAAAATTTGTAATACAATTTAAATTATTTTTAATACAATTCTAAACTAATTCCTTGGAAAATGTAACTATTCTTAAAAATTTTATTAAAATTCGTCAAAAGAATTCAATTTTTTTTCAATTTTTTATAAGTTTTTCTCAATAATTCAATTATTTCCATAAATAATAAAAATATCGCAGAATTTCAATTATTTTGAAATTTTTTATACAATTTTAATCAAAAAATTAATTAATTAATTTATTGAAATTCGTCAAAAGAATTCAATTACTTAAAAATTTGGTAATAAAATTCTTTATAAGAATTAAATTTTATATTAAAGAAACATTCAATTTTATCTAATTTACTTTTTTATTTAAATAATTGAATTCTCACAGAATTTTCTAATAAAACTTGATTTAAAAATGAATTTTAGTTAAAATTTTAGATAATAATTGAATATGAAAATAATTTTGAAGAAGTTACAGTAACAATATTCTTATAATCTAAAATAATTATTTTATCTCTCGGTCATTTTGAATTATTAGAAAACATGAAGAAATCGATCACTCCGATTCGAAGACTCGGAGTAATCGATACCTTCATGTCTTATAACAATATTTTTAAAGTCGTTAAATATCAAAAAGGTTTGAATTTGAATGTTTTGAAGAATTTTAATTCTCACGGAAAAATAATAATAATTAAATATTTATTTAGAAAAGAAGTCATTGACGTTTTTAAATAATTTTGCAATTATAGAAAATCGTAAATAATAATTAGTAACAGATATTAACAACTTTGATATTAACAATCATTTCAAGTCAATTTAATGACTCGGATTGATTGTTAATATCAAAGTTTTATTTCTAATTCTTGAAAATGTTATTAAAGTAAAAAGAAATGATTTTAATTTAACTGTAATTTTAGAACATTTAATTAGAGTTTAATTTTCAAAAGAAAAGATGAAAGACGAGAAAATAAAAGGAAAGGAGATAAAAAGTCTCGGAAG